ACCATGTTAAAGTTTTAGTTGCAGCGTTTTATGTATTTGTTTGCACCATATTATAGTTTTGTCTGCACCATGTTATATATTTGGATGCACAAGATATAGTTTGGGTACACCATGTTATACATTTGGGTGCAACATGTTATATACTTGGATGCACCATGTTATAGTTTTGGTTGCACCATGTTATAATTTCGGTACACCATGTTATAGATTTGGGTGCAACATGTTATATACTTGGATGCACCATGTTATAGTTTTGGTTGCACCATGTTATAATTTCGGTACATTATGTTATACATTTGGGTGCAACATGTTATCTACTTAGATGTACTATGTTATAGTTTTGGGTGCAGCATGTTATATATTTGGATACACCAAGATATTATACACTTGGGTGCTCGATGTTATACCTTTACGTGCAGCATGTTATATAGTTGTATGTACCATGTTATTGCTTTGGTTGCACCATATTATATATTTGAGCACACCATATTATATATTTGGGTCCACCATGTTACATATTTGAGTGCAACATGTTACATATTTGGGTCCACCATTTTAAAATATTTGAATGCAACATGTTATATATTTGGATCCACCATGTTAAAATATTTGGGTGCAACATGTTATATATTTGTGTCCACCATGTTATATATTTATGTCCAACATGTTATATATTTAGGTGCAACATGTTATATATATGGGTCCACCATGTTATATATTTGGGTGCAACATGTTATATATTTGTATCCACCATGTTATAGATTTGTGTCCACCATGTTATATATTTAGGTGCAACATGTTATATATATGGGTCCATCATGTTAAAATATTTGTGTCCACCATGTTATATATTTGGGTCCACCATGTTATATATTTGGGTGCAACATGTTATATATATATGGGTCCATCATGTTACATATTTGAGTGCAACATGTTATATACTTGGATACACTATGTTATAGCTTTAGTACACCATGTTATATATTTGAGTGCACCATGTTGTACATTGTGTTCGTCATGTTATACATATTATAGTTTTCGGTGCACCATGTTATATTTTTTGATGGTTATGGATTTACATTAGAAATACACGGTAAATTGATGGTGTATAAATCCATTCTGTCGAAAATCTTTTTACCCTCTTCTGTCCAGCTTAGGCTTACTAGGCGATTCACCTAACAGTCGAAACGTACCTCGAAGAGTATGTCGTAAAACTGTTTTGTACTTTTTTGAGAAGAATAGGTTTTCAGTAATGGCAGGTTCTTTGCGTTTGTCGGAATTAAGTAATATCAACTATTTTTGAAGAATGGATTGAACATCCTAATGATGTGAAATGCTTTTGGACAAAGCAATGGTCAGAAATATTAAACGAGAGAAAGAAAGAGAGAGGAGAGAGAAGCAGAAGAAAAAGAAGAAGAAAAGAAAGCATCTATCAGTAAATAGCAGAGTCAAAGATGACTCCCCCCCAAAAAAAAAAAGATATTCTTGGGCAAAGTCATTATGACAAATACGAAAATACAATAAGATCCGATTAGCGGTACAAAATGCTTTTAAAACTATCGGACTCTGCGCATCTGCTGGACGGACCACAGGACAAACGAATCAGCTCTTGGAAGAGAAAAGAACGAATACGTATTTGGTCGCGACCATCAAAAAAAAATAAATCGAAAGCTGCAGTATATTAGCTATGCCATTAGGGAGCAGAACCTCTGCACTCACATCCCGGAGCAGGCACGTCTATGTCAAGAGACTTGTCGGGAGAGCAAGGCGACGCTGGACTGATAACATTGGACTGGGAGAGCCCTGAAGGAGGTTAATGTCGCGTCGCTGGAGAGGATGTATTAAAGAACACTGAAGCTACTGTCCATGGTCGCCGTTCCTCGATGGGAAGAAGAAAGCAATGACAAAAATAAAGGCTTTTTCAAAAGATCAAGAGGAAACGAGAAAAGGAGGACACTCCAGTTACAGTAAATGGTAACACGGTCAGAAAAGACATAGACTCAACTGAATGATTTTTTTTTGAGATCTCGTCAGAGTTTGAAGAATTAAAATTCTGTCCGCGTTGAATAAAAAAGAAACGGCTTAGTAAGAATTGGTCTAGGAAAAGGACACAATTATCAAAAATATATTAACACATGTCTACTCATAAACAGACCTAACTATGACCGGGGTGGTAGCACCTGTTAGGGCCCCAGCTATGGACAAATAGTTAAGAAAAGCAAAATACTATGAAAGTAAATAAAATAGATTTTTATATTAAGAATACCAGCAATATATATATATATATATATATATATATATATATATATATATATATAATATTAAGGCAATAGATTTGACTCTCGACAAAAACCCTCTTTGCAAAAATACGTCAATGAAACCCGATCTACAAACTGATTTCTTACAAAGTAAACATCTTCTATTCATATAAACCTATACTAAAATTCTTGTCACCATTAAATAATCCATTGTGGTGTCGATAACCCGTAAACCAAAATAAACCCAAATTCTCATCTACAAACTGATTTCGTACAAAGAATACATATTCTATTCATATGAATCAATTCTAAAAAATAGTGTCAGCATTAAATAAACCATTGAGATATTGCTATGCCATAAAACAAAATAAACCCAAATACTGATCTACAAATTGATTTCTTACAAAGAATACATATTCTATTCATACGGACCTATTCTTGAGCGAATAGTCATTTTGTTTACGCCAAGTAAGGACATCACAATTTAATATAAAGATGGTAAGACTGAAACTTAGCTGAAGACTATTTATATAGACTGCTTCGGTTACCATTTAACAATTAAATCTTCTTAGAATGATAGTGTTATCTACAAGGATGTTTTAATAGGAGCTGGCAGGTATGTATGTGAGTTTATGGGCAGATTTGTTACAGTTGACAAAGCATATAATTGCTAATGACAACAGGCCTAGCAAATCCAAACTGCAGACCTCCTTTGTAGTTGATCAATTTTGTTGCGCTGTACAATACTGTGATTCGTGTAAGAATGAGAAAAAAAAACTACATCGGCCTTACGAAATCATTAAGTTGTAAATTAACTAATATATACAAGGTTGGCCAAAAATAGGCTTTTCGCGTTTTAGAATTAATTTTTTCAACAAGATCTAAATTCGCAAACCTGTTCTTTCAGTAAAATGGAGCACCTCCCCCATTATGCTTTGGCAGCAAGGGATTACCTTAACCAAACCTTTTCACAGTGGAAGAAGGGGCAGCATCAAATGGCCACGACGTTCATTCACCTGACCTAAAATTATATATATATATATAAAGAACAGTAGGATATATAATCCGATGTTCTTTTACAAAACAGTGCTCAATGTAAATTTACAGAGCATAAATATTATAAATTAACTGATTGAAAATATGTTTTTTTTCGTTACACGGTAATAACCATGTTTCAAAAATGGAAGCTAAAAACTTTAAATTTAATTATATAATTAAATTAAAAGCTTTATTTCCGTTTCATCTTCAAGTGAATATTGGAATATCTTATTTATAAATTTACTGAGTCTTAAATGCACATATAAATTGATAATTTCCTGTTTCTAAGGACACAGAGAAATCCAATCATTCAGACAGGGGCGGTAGCGTGTTCCTTTTTATTAACTATTGTTGTATCAATTATGAGTTACGTTCGAAAAAGAGGTTAAGTTTAGGGAGGGTAGGGGTGTATTTTTCAACGAATTCTGACATCCATGAAACACATGTCGTCTGGGTTTTTTTTTATTAACGGCAAAAACTTTTTCGGCATTTTTTTTCGTATTTGTATACTTAAAGATTCTTTCTAGGGGTGTTTGGGTTAGAATACGTTTTATTTGACTACAATATTTTTTACTCTTAATTACTAATAGACTATATTTCTTTTTAAAACGAGTAAATGTAATAGAATTACTTAAATTATTTAAAATTAATTTTTCATATCAAAAGTATGTATATTACCAGGTCCTATTTTTTAATTTTATTTTTAAATATTATTTAAGGAAAATATATAGTACCCCAGTAGGCTTATTTCAACCGACACGAACTCAGTCTATACAGGGTTTGAAAAAGACTAATAAAGTTTTCGTCGGTTGAAATGGGCCTATTCCTCATATGAGGTAATTTGGGATTTTATTGTGTACTAAATTAGGCTTGTTTATTTGCAAGTCAATACCCCGAAGGTTTTCCGAGCGAGTGTAGTTTCTTATGCTTATAAGAAGTATATTAATAATAATAATAATATATATATATATATATATATATATATATATATATATATATATATATATATATATATATATATATATTTTTGTGATGTGTGTGCATTTCGTCAGGAATACTAATAGTTAAAGACTATTGTCGCAGAATATATTCTAAAGTCGGCAACGATTATCGAGAAAAAGTATGGAACACCAAATATGACAAATGCGTGGAAATGTTGCTCTCGCTGCGAATATAGTGACGATCGTTCACGAAATTGATATAATTTTGAGTTACACAGGAATTACTCCGTAAGATTAAGCTTCTCCGTATCAGGCAGCTTGGAAAATCAAACTTGGATATTGATTATAATTCGAAATCTACCATAGGATGATGTTAATCAAACCGAGTGTGTGTGATTTCTATATATATGTTGGTTTTTAAAAGCTGTGAAAAGCTTTTAAAAACGCGGGCGTTTTTGTATTGTTTAGCGGAAACCATACTAATTTCATTGTGGATGCAGCCATTGTTTGTTAGCCATGAATGGAGGCAGCATTTCCTTTCTGTTAAAGAAAAGCCTATCTGGAACTTGTAGGTGGTATCTGAAGGTAAAAAGAATCAATTCCTATATTAGGCCGGGGATTTATTTATTTGCATCAATATTTGCTGACATTGAGTGAATAGAATTCAAAAGCCTCTTCAAGGCCTTGTGGCTGATGAATTCTGTTTCAATTTATAACTCCTTTCCCGCAGAAGAAAAGTCGTGAATCAATTCCATTCCCGTTGATGAAAAGTCGTGAATCAACTCCATTCCCGTTGATGAAAAGTCGTGAGTCAACTGCTTTTCTCCAGAGGAAAAGTCGTGAGTCAACTGCTTTTCTGCAGAGGAACAGTCGTGAGTCAACTGCTTTTCTGCAGAGGAAAAGTCGTGTGCGAATTCCTTTCCCAGATAGGCAAAAGACGTGAGTCAACTGCTTTCCCGCAGAGGAAAAGTCGTTAGTCAACTCCATTCCTGCTGATGAAAAAGTCGTGAATCAAATACTTTCCCACAGAGGAAAAATCGTGAGTCAACTCCTATCCCGCAATGGAGAGAACGTGAGTCAACACCATTCCTGCAGCGGAAAAGTCTTGAATCAACACCTTTCCCGGAAAAGAAAAGTCGTGAGGCAACTCCTATCCCGCAGAGGAAAATCCGTGTGTCAACTCCTTTCCCGCAGAGGAAAGTCGTCAGTCAAATCCTGTCCCGCAATGGAATAGACGCGAGACAACTCCTTTCCCGGTGAGAAAAAGTCGTGAGTCAACACATTTCAAATTCTCAAATGTCACACTAAGTCAATCTTAATCAAGGCCACGAAAACTGAATCTTTAAAATAACACCATGTTCCTTTAACGTAACCATAATTTAAAACTTAATATTCAAAGTTATCTCATCGCTTCAAAATATCACGAGACAAATATCCTTGAATTTAGTTTGTTCTTGCTAATAACTGAAGCAAATCAAATGCACAGCTCCTTATCAAGAACCGAAGTTAAGCAGCGTAGATCCCGGTAGGTACTTAGATGGGGGACTGCTTGTGATACAACCGGTAATGTAAACTCCTTCAGTCTTAAATATAATCGGATACGGAACAAATACTAAAAGATTATAACATGTTTCGATTATATTTAAGCTTCATCAGAAATTTTTGGGAAATTAATTATAAAGGAGTATGTTTCTTTAAGTTCTGTAATTCATTTCCAAAGACTTTCTGATGAATCTTAAATAAAAGCGAAACGTGTTAAATTTTCTATATGTTTCCTATTTGTTTCTTATTCTAACATTCTGTCGGATTCTTTTCAATATTTGTTCCCAATTCATTTAGAAAAATGGTTCATCATTATAATAACCCACAATGGGTTGATAAGTAGTAAAAAAAAATCAACTATTCAATCAACACTTTAGAAAAGGTGTCGGCAATTATGTGCCGACTTAGGGTTTAAAATCATTCAGCATATGTATTTTTATACAGGTCAAGGTCAATATACCTGTTTTAAAATATATTCTATATAGTAATATATAGTATATAGTTTTATATAAGTTTTTAGTCAGGAGAAATAAACTACATTCAATTTCAAAATTTAATTACGTAATCCCAACTCAACATAAACAGTATTTGGAACTGGCATGAAGTGGGTTCTCCATTTGCTAGTTTCAGTGATTACATTACTTTTTCCTGGACTTGATCATGTTATTAACAATCGTATGATCCATATTTTGCAATTCCTTCAGTAATGTTTCTTTAAGGGTTGCCACTGACGTGATTTTGGTTGAACGCTCTCGAAGGTTTCGGTCAAGGTGATCCCAAACGTTC